CAGGAGTTCGAGGCCAACCTGCACAACATAGCGAGACTCCATGTCAAAAAAAAAAAAAAAAGAAAGGAAAGAAAGAAAGAAAGAGAAGAAAATAAACGGCACAGCATAAATTTTGTTGACTACTTTTTATTTATTTATTTTTTTGAGACAGGGTCTTGCTCTCTTGCCATGGGTAGAGTGCAGTGGCGTCATCATAGCTCACTGCAACCTCAAACTCCTGGGCTCAAGCAATCCTTCTGCCTCAGCTTTGAGTAGCTGGGACTACAGGCATGAACCACCATGCTCAGCTAATTTTTCTTATTTTTTGTAGAGACGGGGTCTTGCTATGTTACCCAGGCTGGTCTTGAACTCCTGGGCCCAAGTGATCCTCCCACCTTGGCCTCCCAAAGTGCTGCGATTTCCTATCTGTCAGTAGGAAAATGGATACACAAATTGTGGTATATTCAATAAACGCTATTAAAAGAAATGAACTATTTAATAGATTTATATGTGCCCATAAGAATCTCAAAAGCAATGTTGTATGAAAGTGAGGTGTAGATGGATATATACTCATTATCTGCTCAACATCACTAATCATCAGGGAAATGCAAATCAAAACCGTAATGAGATACCAATTACCCTAGTCAGAACGGCCATTATTTAAAAGTAAAAAAATAATCGATGTTGGCATGGATGCAGTGAAAAGGGAAGGCTTATACACTGTTGGCGGGAATGTAAATTATTAATAGTACAACCTCTATGGAAAACAGTATGGAGATTTCTCAAAGAACTACCATGCGATCCAGCAGTCTCGCTACTGGGTATCTACCCAAAGGAAAAGAAATCATTATATCAAAAAGACATCTGCATTTGTATGTTTATCACAGCACAATTCACAACTGCAAAGATACAAAATCATCCTACAGGCCCATCAACCGATGAGTAGATAAAGAAAATGTGGTGTGTATAATATATACCATGGAGTACTACTCAGCCATAAAAAAGAATTAAAGAATGTCTTTTGTAGCAACTTGGATGGTGCTAGAAGCCATCGCCATAAGTAACTCAGGAACAGAAAAGCAAATACTACATGTTCTCACTTGCAAATGGGAGCTAAGCTATGGGTACACATGGCACACAGAGTGGTATAAAGGACATTAGAGACTCAGAAGGGGAGAGGGTGACAGAGGGGTGAAGAATGAAAACTTACCTATTGCGTACAATGTACACTATTCGGGTGACGGGCACACTAAAAGCCCAGACTTCACCACTATACAATACATCCATGTAACAAAACCCACGTGTACCCCCTAAGTCTACTGAAAGTGTCACAAATAGCATTACCTAGATAGAATAGCATTTTCTAAACTTCAGAAACACACTAATAATACTGCATATTACTTATGGACATACATATATGAAGTTAATACAGCGATAAAAGGAAGGATATGAATTCACTTTATAATAGTGGTTCTCTATGAAGAGGAATTCAAAAAGGGCAACAACTATATCTATAGATGTTTTGTTATATACATACAGTCCTGAAACCCCCTACCCAGGAAACCTCTCTACTGAGAAGGTAATTTTGCATTCCAATCCTAGGACCTCAACCCCTACCAATCAGCAGACCCAATTCCCCAGTCCTTTTTTGCTCGCCGAACTATCTTTAGAAATCCTTTCTCCCAAATTCTTGGGGAGATGGATTTGAGAAATTACTCCCATCTCTTCGCCTGGCGCCTCGCGAAATAAAACTCTTTTCCTGCTGCAACACCTGCTATCTCAGTATATTGGCTTTCACTGGGCGGTGGGCAAAGGACCCGGCGGGGCTGTCATAGTACTGTTCTTTATCCCCATTTCGGGGATGGGCAAACTGAGGCCCAGAGGTCGGAGAGGAGCAGGAAGGCGACGGCACCGGGATAGGCCCCGAACTGCCTGGATCGAAATCCAGAGCCCTGACCCCGACACACGGTGCCACGGTAGGAAGGGTGGTCTTCGGGGTCTGGTCAACCCAAACGCAGCCTAGGCCCGACCGGCCGGCCCCGCCTACCGTGTAGAGCGTCAGGTCGACGTGTCGCCACAGCCACCGGTCGTCTACCAGTCTCTTCCAGCGGTGACAGACCCTGGGGGAGGGGACCCGCGGTTAGAACGACCTCGGCCCCGCGGGGACCGGACCCGCTTCTCCAGAGGCGCCCTCCGCCCGGCCCTTTCCCCCCTGGAGGCGGGCTGCACCTGGAGATGCGGATCCGGTCCCGTACCGGGAGGTAAGAGAAGATCTCCAGCAGGACCGAGTCCGGGAGTTCGGCAACAGTCGCCATGATGCCCCCGACACGCACTTCCGCTTCCGGCCGAAGCGACACCAGGTCCGGGCTAGCCTTGGGGGCGCCGAGGCAGCGCGCAGAGAAAGTCGATTTTCCTCTCGCGGGAACGTGGTTGGGTCTTGGGGTTGGAACAGCCCGGGATTGGGACAGGCTCCGAGGCCCCGGCAGGGGACAAGGACCAAGCCCGGAATGGGTGGCTGGGGAGGTGAGGGATTCGGCGGACTTGGCTGCGACGAGATGAGGCCCGGCCTGGGGACTAGGACCACGCCCC